TATTAACAAGAGAATTGTATTCTTCATTAGAAAATATGATTATATAATTCTTGTAAAGAATGTGATATACTAACTGCTTCTATATATGATATATATATTAAATATACTGAAAAATATCATAACAAATAAAATTATCATAAAAAAAGGCAGGCTGAATTACTTAAAAAATATAATCATGAAAATGAATTAGATAAAATATCTTAATATATTACTATATATTATTTTTCTGATTTTAAGCATATATATGAGAAGGTAAAATTATAATAAGTTAAATAGATTTAAATATAATATATGTAATAAATATATAAGCAAATATAAAAGTAAAGAGAATTATCACAGAAAAAAGCAGGATAAATTATGTATAAAAATTACTATGTTTAAGAATCATATACCTGACTTATCTAATTCTAGACATGAACTATAATCATATGCTTGGCATATATTAATTATTTTTTTCAGGATCTCTTTAAGTAATACTATATCCTCTTTGATTCTATTAATATTTTTAGTAATTTTATTACATAAAATTATAGATTCTAAAATCTTCAATCTATTCCATATCTTATTTATGTCTATTTTCTAATAAAATTATATTAATCACAATCTATTCAATTTTTGGATATATATATTGACTCAGAATAATTAATTTTGATTTGAAAAAGAATTTTTATAGTATATATTAGATGAAAGTAGTTTATATAAAATATCTTAATTAATATATATTAATCATGACAAAAATTACTATATCATTTGTAAATTACTATAAATTAACTTCTCAAACTAGTTTATCCTAGCTTAGTAGTTATGTCAAAGAGTTGATTAATAAACTTTCAGATGGTAAAACAAAAAAGCAGGTTCAAAAAGTCAGAAATTAGACTAAAAGATACTTTTAAAAGTTAGGATTGAGTAAGAAACAAGCTAATATTCTTATCTCTATTCAAGTTCCTGAAAGATATATTAAAAAAAGAGATCTAATCAAAATTATCATCCAGAATATTATAAAAAATAATCTCTCATCTAAAGAGATAAATAAAATAGCATATAACTTAACTTCTTCTGCTCTTACTACTATTGCTAAAAATTCTTATCTTAATTTATTGCAGAAAGAATTACATAGCTTAGGAGCTAATTATCTCATTACTGAGATAATAAAAATACCCTTTATTATTAAAAAAGCAAATCAGATTCAAGCAAGAAAATATATACTTTATAAAATTAATAGTTATAATTGTTCTGAGTTCTTTTATCTGGAAAAAGTTCAGAAAAGACTTAATAAATATAATATTACCAAGCCTTCTTCAATGTAAAATCTAATAAATATAATAATAATACTATATATGAGATTGATAGATGTGAAAAATTTTTATATTAATCAATATAGATCAAGTCATGAGTTATAATATAATTATAATTATTCTTGATACTATATTAATTATATAAAAAATAAAGATGAAATAGAAGAATCCTAACTATTTCTTTTAATAGAAAAAAATTTAATACAAGCAAGAGAATTATTTATCTGGATTCAGAGATTAATATCAGATAAATTTCTCTTCTTGTTAAAAAATAAGAATGAAAATATTAATATTATATCTCTTAATCAATTTTTAAGTTGTCATAGAATTATTTTATTTATATTAAGAAAAATAGAAGCTGATCATACTTTCAAAATATATGAAGATAGGAATAATTCCTACCATCAATATTTATGACAATTGATATATAGATATAAAATAGGTCATGCTTTATCAGTTAAATATTATATTGTAATAAATAACAGATCAAATATTTCAGCATCTAAACAAGAAAATAGTGAGATCAAGAATATTATTAATTTATATAAAGAAATTTTTGATAATGAGAATTAATCATATTTCTTTACTTTCATTATATTTATAATAAAATCTTCATCATTAGATCATCATAACTAGATCTAGATAAAGATGAGAATGAGAATTCAGATGTTGTATCATTAAAAATTGATTTTTTTCTTTTAGCTTTATATAATATATAATTTCTTCAAGAAATATCTGGATTTATTATTAAGTTAATAATCTCTAATTCAATCTTGGATTTTACTATTTCCAGTAATCAGTAAAGAAAGATCCAGATTTTTTTATCTAATACTTGCTTAACAATATCAAATATTACTTTATTAGTAATATTAGGTAAATTTTTATCTCTTTCTTTTTCATAATCTCATAAGTAATAATTAGATATTCTAAATCTGAATTAATTATATTCTGTTGCTTTAATATTGCTTTAAATTTTTTACAGATATTTTGTATTATCTTAGGATTATTAGCTTTAGTCATTGTAATAGTTAATAAATACAAATTTAAAAATATGCCTAAATTAATTATCTGAATATTAGCTATTTTTTTCTAATTAAAAATATATAATATATAATTTAAGAATAGTATAACTATTGTGAAGTAAAGATCTAAAGGATCTAAATATTTTGATTTATCAGAATTATTAGAACAAATCTTATATTTTTTAAAAATTGATCAATCTCTTTATCCTACTTTATTCATCAATCATCTTTAATATTACTATGATATTTCTATTCTATAGCATTATATTAAGTTTTTTAACAAAAATTATTAGCAGAACTGGTATATCCTAAATATATCTCAGATTCTTACTTGATAATTAATAAACTTTAAAAGAATTATATATAAAAAAATAAAGTCATTCTATTATTCAAAGATAGTATATCTCAGATTAGAAGATTTAAAAATCTCAGATATATTTATTAATGCAATTTTACATTTATATTTGAATATATGCTTTCTTATTCTTGATAAAAGTAAGGGTTTTACTAATATATCAATTATAGAAATTGCAAAATTTTCTCCAAAATTATAATATCTGAATTTTAATTCATATATATATCTTACTGATTGATATATCACTAAAATAGTACATTCTTGTTCAAAACTTAAATATTTTGAGCTTGGTAATTATTTGATTAGTAATAAAACTATTGAAAAAATAGTTCATAATTATACTAATTTAAAATATCTTAGTTTGAAGAGATATAAAGAAATTAGTAAAGAAGTGATGAAAAAACTTAATCCTAAAATTAAAATCAAATATTCTAATTATTTAGATGATAAATAATTCAGTTCTTGCTTATCTTTACATATTTTACTCTTCAGAAATTCATTATTAAATAGAATAAATTTAATTTTTGCAATCAATAATTATATAAGAGAGATTGGTGTGAATATTCCTAATTATTCATCATGAATTACAAATTATTTTATTTAATAACAGAGAATGGATAATTATTTACTAACTTATTTTTTTGATTATATTATATATTATTAAATAATATTTGATATATTTTTCATAAAAATACTAATAGAAAGAAAAATTCTAGTTAAAGTATTAATAAATATCTCATCAAAGTTTAATATTATTAGCAGGTACTTGTTTAATAAGCTTAAAGAAGATTATAAAATAAGTGATTCTATTAAAAATCTTTATAGAAATATAATAAATAAAATAAAATACTTAGATTTATAATTTCATTATAAAGAAAAGTGGTGAAGTTTAGATAGTACCAAAATAATAGACTTTTAAATTTACAAAAATCTATTATTTGATTTGATATTAGGAAGAGATTGATTATGAATGCATAAAGTAAAAATAAGCTTTGGATTTTCTTCTGAAACATATAGCTATCATATTAAAATTATAATAGATAGTATGAGTATCTTATTAATTGAAGAAAATAAGATCAGTCCTATTAAAAATAACTTATCTAATTTAATAAAATCTAAATATGATTTAATCTTAGAAGAAATCACAAATATGATTAAGAAAATTCTCTCAGATATTTAAGATATTAAATACTAAAAGAGTTATTATGGAATATTTTATAATATATTTCCTGCATCTCCAATATCCAGAAGATTAAATAATAATATTTTCAAAAATAGTGAAGCTGATAAGATTAAGAAATATTTTAAAGTAGATTTAGATGATAAAGATGGAAATTTTTCAATCAAAATATATCTTAATAATATTTAGAAGTCAGTTTATTCTATAAAAAATAATATAGAGTATAGAATTTTTGAAAAATTTTATATTATTGAATATAAACTAAATTGTATAAATAAAATAAAGTTATCATGAATAAAATCTGAGATAGAAATTAATTTATTTAGTTTCAATTTAGAATTCATGAATTCAGACTGATATGATCTCAATCCAAAAAAATCTTCAAAAGAAATATATCTATATTATAAAGAAAAAGATTATTTCTTCTATCTGAAAATATCATAATAATAAGTTAATTAGAATGAAGTAATCTTTAATCCAGAAAATTATTATAGATGAGATTAACATAGAAGTATTTTAGAGAAATGATACTCTGTATCTCATGAAATATACATAATTAACAAGAAAATTTAATCAATCATGATCAATACATAAAATCTCTTTATTTAATTAATTATTATAACTCTTTGAGTCACTCTAAGAGCCTGATTTATTTACATGATATATACAAGATATAATGATATGGAAAATAAATTGTAAATAAAAATCTGTTAGATGTATTATTTCTTATATCATGTTAGAAGATCTTTTCTTGCAGATTCCAAATTTATGAATATTAGTTCTTGACTATAAGATAAACTTTATCTCACCTATACATATCTATATTTGTTCTTCTATAATTTTTTAGTTTTATTCCAACCCAAGTTGTAATTAGCCAAACTTTCAGTAATTTATGCCGATTTTAAAAAATAATAATCTATTATAAGGTCACGTGACATTGTGACAAGCTATGAAATAAATTCTAAAATACAATTAATAAAAAATTCATAAACGATGTATTAAGCATATCGTGACTATTAATTAGCTAATAAAATTTTGTATATAAAATGATACATAAATATATGATCTAAATTTTATGCCTTTGCTGTTATCTCGATTTCTTTTTCATTTGAATTGAAAATCTGTGTGAATTGAGTATGGATTTTTTCTCATTCTTCCATAAGATCATCAAGCCATGCAGTACTTAATCCGCTTTTTATTATACCGCGACGTAATAATTCTTCACCGACTAGCCTATCCCGATCTGTTAAAAATTTATGGTATTTTCTAGTATCTTCCTTCCTTTCTATTCCACCACGATAGAACCGTATATCCCTCTCCAAGTCCTCACGAAAACATTCTCCATCCCATCTATTTTTCTCAGCCTCAGTAACGATCGAAAATTTTTCAGGATCCATTTTATGTTCGATGGCATATTGATAAAGGCGGGTTTTATTTGGATTAGTGCTAGGAATCGGTGATTGAGTTTTGTTTGATATACTTATCTGAATTTCCGGCAAACTCTGTATAGCAATTATAACTTTCTTTTGATCGATACGAAAGGGACAATTAAGAAAATAGTGATCATTTTTACCTAGACAGCTCCAGTCGCCCCATATACCTAAACATGTGTGTACCTCTTTGCATACAGGGCACTTAACTTCTGAATCGGTATATTTAAATACATCTCGATGCCATGCATTCGAATTAGTGTAAGACAAGAAAGGGAAGCGTTTATGTACTGTTTCATGGATTATACTTTTTTCTTCCGGAAATTTAGAAATTTTGATAACACAATCCTGTGAAAGGTAATTATCAATCTTTTCGATTTGTGGGGGTTCAGGAGTTTCAGACATTATCCAGGGATCGAGCCCAGTCTCTTCTGTATATGCTCTATATAAGCTCAAACGAATTTTATCTGTCAAATGACTCGGTGAATCAACCAATTTAGCATGCCAGTCTAAATACTCAGGGGTTAAGGCACGAAGTGTCATATCTCTGAAATAGGCTTTATCCATGTTATTGTTTTATACGATTGCAAATTCAAATTAAGTACAAGTCGTGTCTTTGTCTCGCTTATATAACAAGGATACTTACGTGCTGGCATTCTGTGCATATCCCGAAATAGTAATTATATAGTTAATTGATTTACGATCATTTGAAACAGATAATTTGTCGAAGGCAGTGTGACTTTATGATTTATGCTGTTATCTCGATTTCACGCTTTCCACATATAATAAAATAGGATCCAGCTTCGTATCTACCTTTTACACTTTTCCCATCTTCATGATTTAATTTACATACTGGGCATAATGATCCCTCAATAATATCATAGTAATCAAATTTTTCAGTAATAAATGTTTTATAAAGATCAGAATATCGCAACAATGTCTTATTACGAAAGTAAGCATGGTCATGGGTCGGATTATTTTGCTTTTCAGTTAAAGTCTTCTTGAGTTGAGGTGTAGATATACTTTCTTCCCTCGTCTTGACTTCTGGTAAGATCTTAGTTTTCACAGAAGAAACGTACCAGCTCCGTATTGGTATTCGTCATAGTAGTTCTACCATCTTCTTCAATTCCTTGTGCCATATTGCGTGC